AGGGAGGCTGGCTGCACGCGGCCCGGGGCTGCCCGCCTCCTCCCATGCCCCATCCACGCCACAGCTCCCCAGCCCTGACCCCTGGAAAGACACTCTGCTCAGGACTCCGCTCTCCTGTCGAGACCCACCTGCGGAACCAGGAAGAGAGCCCAGACTCCGGCTGGGGCTATGGTGCAGCATTTAAAAAAAATGGTTTTTTAAAAAATGGATTTCAGAAAGGAAGGAAGGGAGAGAGAGAGAGAAAGAGAAACATAAATGATGAGAGAATCATTGATCAGCTGCCTCCTGCACACCCCCTACTGGGATCAAGCCCGCAACCCAGGCATGTGTCTGACCAGGAATCAAACTGTGACCTCTTGGTTCATAGGACGACACTCAACCACTGAGCCACGCCAGCTGGGCGCTGCGGCATTTTTGTATAAGAAAAATCAAGGGAGTTAAACTTGAAAAGAAAAAACCCTGGACAAGTGGCGGGCAGGGGGCTCTGTAGCCCCAGGCTTGTCCCTGCGAATATAAATGTGTGAGATGGAGAGCTGCATCCCAGGCCCCGGAGGAGGAAATGCTATTTTTAACTTCAAAGCAGATGAGATACAATATGGCTGGGGCTGGGGCAATCCGAAAAGACCTAACATACCTCATCTTCCTAAATGAGAAACCAGAGACAACTGGAGCGCGCTCCTCTCTCCCAGGGAGGGTCCCGGACGCCCGAGGCATCCCACGTGGGCAGCGCTCGTGTTAAAGGGCACAGGTCCCCCTGTGGGCACCTGGTCACTGAGCAGCAGGCGCTGGGCCTGGAGGGGAGCTGGCCCCGGCCCCTGCGGCAGAGCACTGTCTGCCCTCAACCATGGGAGGCGGGTGGCCTGATGCGGAGGACCCAGGGCTGGCAGCTCAGGGGCAGCACCGCCCCCGCTGGCGGGGAGAGAAGCAGAGCTGGTGGGACCTGGAGGGAGGCTGGGGGCTGCCGGTCTCCTGGGGAATGAAGACGTGGGCAGAGAGCTCAGGTGAGCCTGGGGCTGCTGGGCAACGTGCACGGACGGCCCCGGGCAGAGGCTTGGCGCAGTGCACGGAGGAACCACTGTGTGGGGAGGAGATGGCCCCCAGTCAGAAAAGCCCTCCTGGCCCGAGGGTGCGGCCCGGCTGGATGCCACAGGGCTGCAGCCTGGGACGGGTGGGCCCAGGCGGAGGCCAGGTGAGAGCCTGGCACTTGGCGTGGGGCCTGCTGGGCTGGGCGGGAGGGAGGGCAGTTAGGAAGATCCCTCTTTCCTGGCTGGAGCACCCACCAAGGAATACAGGGGGCGGCCCATTTGGAAAACAGGCAAATATTCAGGGAAAAGTCAAAGAAATCAAACCGGAGTCACTGTGAAGATGACCACCTGGTGCAACCCTCCTCAAAAGGAAGTGCCCAGCATGTGGCTCAGGGGTTGAGCGCTGCACCGTGCACCAAGGGGTCGCTGGTTCGATTCCTGGTCGGGGCACGTGCGCGGGTTGCAGGCTCGATCCCCAGTAGAGGATGGGCAGAAGGCAGCCGATCCATATTTTTCTATCATCAATGTTTCTATCTTCTCTCCCTCTCCCTTCCTGTCTAAAAAATCAATAAAAACATATTGAAAGAAGGAAAGAGAAAGGAGAGCAAGTCAGGAGAGACACCCTCACCCTGGGGAGGCCGAGCCGCGGCCACGCGGGCGGGATGCGTGTTTACAGCCCCGCGGCCCCAGCCTGCTCTGCCTCCGAGCACTTCCTCCCGGGTGTGCCGTGGGAGTGCCGGGAGGAAGCATCTGCCCCGAACATGACATCACTAATGTGACAGTCAACACATGACACAAATCTATTTAGCAGACACTTGTTCGCACCTAGCAACCTGGCCCTCAGCAAACAGAGGCCCTCCCTGCTCTCCAGCTCAGACCACGGCCAGCGCTCCCCAGGGCCCCACCCTTCCCGGGGACATCCAAGAGGCAAAACTAAAACAGCCCGGCCAGGAGCGTGGGTTGTCAGGACTGGCGGGTGGACAAGCTGCGTGCGGAAGCCAGGGTGGAGGCCACAGCCACGGGGACAACGCCCCTCCTGGTGAGAAGACACAGAGCTGTGGCTGGAGCCGGGCGGGGCAGGCAGCGGCCCCTGTGACTTCCCAGGCAACCGTGACGCCCTTTTTATCCCCTTAGGCAGCAAAGGCCCACAGAGCCACTGGCAGCCTTGGGACTAGTGAGTCAATGGCAGAGCCAGGCCCAAGCCCAGGCCTGACTCAGAGGCTCAGAGCCACACCCACATCCTCATTGGCCCTAAATATCAAGGAACGCAAAGAAGGCACATACAAATCTGATCAATACGTTGGAACAATTTGAGGCTTCGAGTGAATAAAGAAGACAAATTCCTCCCAAATTTCGACTTATTTGGATTTGGTGTGGCTCAGTGGTTGAGCGTTGTCCCATGCACCAGGAGTCGCTGGTTTAATTCCCGGTCAGGGCACGTGCGGGGTTGCGGGCTCGATCCCCGGTAAGGGGCGTGTGGGAGGCAGCGACTGATGTTTCTCTCTCTCTCCTTTCCCCTCTCTCTAAAAATTTAAAAAAAAAAAAAGGACCTTTTCTGGCAGTGAACCATCATTAAACATGTGAGTACATATGCACACATGCTATGACATGTACATGTGACATGTGTTCACACATGGGTAGGAGAAAGACCTCTATCTACAGTATGGTCTCAGCGTAATGATGTGAGAATAAAATCTTATTACTAACATCATCACACAAAAACAGACGGGCTTCAAAGGAAAAAAAGGTGAAAAAACAGGCGGGCAGCCCGGCCAGTGTAGCTCCATGGTTGAGCGTCGACCTATGAACCAGGAGGTCACGGTTGGATTCCTGGCCAGGGCACAGGCCCAGGTTGCGGGCTCGATCCCCGGTTGGGGGCGTGCAGGAGGCAGCCGACCAATGATTCTTTCTCATCATTGATGTTTTTTTCTCTGTCCCTCCCTTCCTCTCTGAAATTAATAAAAATGTATTTTTTTAGAAATCAGCAGAAGTTTAACTTCTAATCTAGACAGTGAATGAGCTCAGTGAACGGGTCAGTGTGAACCAGGGAAGGCGCTCACTAAGGCTCACGCCGTCTCGGGTTATTTGGTTGCACCAGCCACTCTGCCCGACCCCCTGGGGCTCCTCCCGTGTGAGGCCCCGTGTCAGGGGGCTTCGTGTAGACACATCAAGAGCTTGTCGCCGCGGATGGCTGTCCACAGCGCTCACCTCCTCCGCGGCAAACCCAGGCGCTGGCGTCACATAAGCCACACGCGGAGCAGTCTGGCTCTGGTGACAGTGGTGCCCGCAGAGCCGAGGTGACGGGACCGCTGTCCCCCGCGAGCACCCGGACAGGCCTTTGCAAAGACAAATTCCTGCGGGGTGTCCCAGCTGCCAATTTCCCTCAAAATCAAAGGCAAAAGGAGCGAAACCAAAACAGCCTTCAGGTTAAAAATCTCGCTTTCTCGCAGCAGCATGACTCTGGGAGATACGTAGGTTCCGGTTTTGTTTTTAATTTAGTGCAAAAATTTTAAAACGTGAATACTTTGCAATAAGCTAAATCACACATCAAAGCCATTACTGTCTGCGGAGAGAGCTCGTTTTGTACATTTGAGTCACTTCTTTCAGCCCTAGTGAAATACTGCTACTGGGACTTACAGGAAGAAACACACATATCTGTTCGTCACCCCCATCTGGGCACATGGCCCCCTAAGACCTGTCATTTCCTCCCTCCGAGCTACAGAGCCATCGTGTTGTTGCTTTTGCTCCTGGTTCCTGAAATAGCTCCCGCACACAGAGGTGGGAGGGGTGTCTGTCATCCAGGACAAGCTCCTTTCAGCTGCAAGGTCTGTGCTAATCAATGACTAGTGGGGGCTCAGAATAGCCTGACACTGGGGGTGTGGAGGGGGGCTAGTTGCCAGGGAAACCAACCATGTGATCCCGGGGTTGGCACCTTCGGGCCTGCCCCTCCACCTCCAGGAGGGGAGGGCTAGAGGCTGAATCAATCACCAGTGGCCAGTGATGTACCAACCACAGTTACGTACTGAGGCTCCGTAAGCATCCCGAACCATGGCACTGGGGAACGGGCCTCGGAGAGCTCCGGGCGCTGACACTGGGAGGGCCTGGAGCACGGCGCCCCGGGAGGCACGGACGCCGAGCCCCTCCACCCCTCGCCCTTCGCCTCTCTGCCACCTGCTGTTCCTGCGTTGCTTCCTTTGTAACAACCAGTCGTCTAGTCAGTCATCTTTTCCCGAGCTCCGGGAGCTCTAACGAATTAACCCAGCCCTCGGAGGGGGCGGGAGCCTACGATGTACTGTCCGTCTGTCCGTCAGACGCACAGGTGACAGCCTGCACGTGTGACCAGCATCAGAAGTCCAGGTTGTGGGGGCGGTCCTGTGGGGCGGAGCCCTCAGCTGTGACCTGGCGCCACCTGCAGGCAGGCAGGGTCAGAACGGAAGGAAACCGCGGGACCCAGAACCCCTGGAGAACAGACTTGCTCAGAAGTTCGTGAGTGTGAGAGCAAAGGAGAAATTGGGTTTTTTCTAGGAATAGACTCCTTAACCTTTCAAAGAAACGTCTTTATTTATTTACAGGGCTTAGGAAAGGAAAAAAGCTCTAGAAAAAGGAGATTTCAAAATATGTCTTTGGTGAGGGCTGGGCGCGGTGAGCACCGGTCCAGGCTGGAGTCTCGCCCTTACCGTGGTCACTTCCAGGTCGTGAGGAAGGATCTCCCCGAGTCTCTCGACCGGAGCCCTCTGGGCCCCAGCGACTGGCCTGAGCGACTTCTCAGCTCGCGCTCGGCCCCGTCCCCCTGCGCCAGCTCCTCATCGTACCTGCGCACGGGGAAGGAGAGACAAAGGCTCCAGGACTCGTCCCACGGCGCCCAGGGAAGCAGCCCGCCCCTCCCCGGGTCTTGGCAGCCCAGAGGCCACGGGGCGTAGGAGTGCAACCTGACTGAGTTGCACAGTGGACAGGCCAGCCTGCAGCTGCCACCCGATGGAACTTCCCAAAGGAAACAGGAATGAGGCGTCAGGGGCGTGAAGGAGAGAGAGGTCTGGAAATGCTTCACACACAGCATCCGGGGGCGGGCATGACTGACACACGTCAGACATGGACGGGGTGCCCAGCGCCGGGCGTGTGGCAAGAGCTTCGCTAGGATTTATTACACGAAGGCCACACAAATGGTCTTTTCTGCTGCAAGACGATCTAACCCACAGCATCACTGATGAACGACATACTCTGCCCACCGGAGGCAAGTCCACACAGAGCAGGGAATCCCAGCTGGCCTCGGCGCCCCCCGGTCTGAGACACCCAAGGACAAGGCGCCGTCGCCCCCAAACTCACAGAACTTCGTAATTGCCAAGAACCTCCTTCGGGGGGGACTTGTTCCATTTGCAGTCTGGGATCTCGCCGTTGGGGACCGCGATGTTGAGGGTGTCGTTAATCAGGTTATACTTAAGGATCCGGTCGTTGGCGGTGCTGGAGGTGAGAGACGGAGACGCGTTAACCTAGAGAGGAAAGAAGCCATGTCCTTCACTCGCGTCACTTCCTCCTTCGGGGTAAGAGCGCACAGTGCAGCAGCAAACGCTGCCACCACGCATCTAGGTCAAGCGGTGCCTCAGACTGTTAACGTCTCCTATCTTCAGGGCACCGTTAGAGGAAGTATTCTGAGATCTACTTTTGTTATTGCTGTGTTGATACACACCCAAGGGCATTTTCTCCATTGCTTTTCAGAGACAGAGTGGAAAGGGAGAGGGACAGGGGAAGAGAGAGAGAGAGAGAGAGAGAGAGAGAAACATCAATGTGAGAGACACATCATGCTACTGCCTCCCTCCCGCATGCATGCCCTTGACGGGGAATCAAACCCGTGACCCTTTGGTGTGCGGGCTGACACTATAACCACTGAGCACACCAGCCAGGGCTGTTCTCTGCTTTGATTAGCTGTTAGATGAAACATAAGTAATATTTAAAGGCAGGGTTAGGACTTTGATCTACAAATCAGTCATCACACAAACAAAACTTTTAAGTCAACAGATATCACGAACACCTCAGTGTTGACCTGTATGCTGAGCTCTGTCCTAAGTGCCATGAGCCCAGAGCTTTGCTGGGTCCGTGAACCAAACGACCTTGGACAAGTCGCAGTGTGGGGTTAGAGTCAATGGTAACGGCCCCGTTTGGCTAAGAGAGTAATACCTCATAAAGCAACATTCCAACCCAAATGAGGAGCCCATCCGACAAGTGGGAAGTGAGTCCCACAGGCCCTCAGCACCTCCTCACTCTTATGTCCGGCACAGTCGTCATGACCTTGGAGAGCAGAGGCAGCAGATATGCAAGTTGTTCAGGTGACTCCCAACCAAAATGACCTTGGGTGTGTGTTCACACAACAACAAGTAGATCCCAAAATACTTGTTCAGGGTATCGAATGCGCCGTGAAAAGGAGGGTGGGCCTCTGGTGCCCCTGAAACCGCACTGTTGCACGGCTCTTACTAGGAAATGTGCTAGAATTAACATGCTGCTGCGTTAGAAGTGATATTCTCAGTTAGGGTCCCAGCTCATCCCGGAAAGCGTGACCTCCATTCCAGTTACTCTGTTTAAGACGGGAAGCAAGCCCTGTCGGTGGCTCAGTCGGTGAGCGTTGTCCTGTACACCCAACGGCTGTGGGTTCAATGCTTGGTCAGGGCACACACCCAGGTTGCAGGTTTGATCCCCAGTCGGGATGCATATGGGAGGCCACTGATCGATGTCTCTCTCTCTCTCTCTCCCCATTCCTCTCTCTCTAAAATCATAAAAAACACATCCTCAGTGAGGTTCCTCATCTCTGAATGGGATGCCACCGCTTCCCAAGGGCTTCTGGTCTGTGAGCTCCTTTCCAGAGTGGGAGCGGCGTCCCCCAGGACAGGGCGGGGCCTCTGAGCGTGGACTCGTCCGGAAGCATCCTGGAGCGCGGGGCCATCCCGCACCGAGCTCCTGTCTGTGAGCTGGGCCCCCCGGAGGTGAGAGACCCGGACAGGGCTCACTTCCCACCATCAGCAAATAGACACACCTGGACATCCTGCCCTGTTACACTTACAGCCTCATCAGATGCCCTAGTCCTGCCGCCCAGCCTGGGCCGTTAGGCTGGACCAGCGGAGCCTGAGGCTAGATCAGCGGAGCCTGAGGCTGGGTCAGCGGAGCCGGAGGCTGGACCAGCGGAGCCTGAGGCTGGGTCAGCGGAGCCGGAGGCTGGCAGGGGCCGGGCGGGTGGGGCTGGGGGAGCAGTTACCTCGATCAGCCAGGGCTTCAGCTTGTCGTCGATGATGATGTCGTAGCCGTAGCACTCGAAGCAGTGCTTGTCGTTGTTCATCACCGGCTGCAGAGAGAGACCAGGGCTGAGTGTTGACCTATGAACCAGGAGGTCAGGGTTCGCTTCCCGGTCAGGACACAGGCCTGGGTTGCGGGCTCCATCCCTACTATGGGGCGTGCAGGAGGCAGCCGCTCAATGATTCTCTCGTCATTGATGTTTCTATCTCTACCTGCCTCTCCCTTCCTCTCTGAAAAAAACAACAATAAAAAATGGCAGGCTCCCTTCAGCCCTAAATATCTATGAAACAGCAAAGCAAAAAGCCCGAAAACAAGGAGGTTGCTGAAAATCCCCTCCAAAACCTCAGCTTCTGCCACAACATCCCTTATGGACTCAATGGGCCCAGGAGAGCTGGTGACACCAGGGGACTCGCCAGGCCCGTGACCACGGCAGGGGCGGCTCCAGGCGCACGTGGGCAGCACCGGCGGGAAGTGCCCCCCTTCCCGAACCTGCCTCGGCCTCGAGCAGGTAAGTGGGAGGTGAGACCCTAAAAACAGGTATTTTTAGCAAAGCACAAGCATCACCAGCTCCCAAGCACCTGCAGGGCAGGGTCCTCCCCTCCCTCCCGGCCCTGCTCACCGCCACGGCCTTCAGCGACTGCACGATGATCCAGTGGATCTCGTCGAACAGCTTGCCGGTCACCTCCTTGCCTCGGGTGCTCTCCAGGTACAGCCGCAGGTTGCTCACCGTCCACTTGCCCCCGTGGATGTGGTTGTAGTCCTCCTGGTCATGGGAAAGGGGCGGAGCCTCGAGCGCTGCTCCCAGAGGAACCAAGTGCCCTCCCTCCCTCCTCCAGGCGGACCTGCCCCTGGGACCTGGGCCTCCTACATGTGCGCACTTTTTAAATACTCAACTCTGGAACATTCTCACAATCAATCATTTATACCTTGTAGTGCATGCTGAGGAAGCCGCCAGACCCCCCGCCCCCTTAAGACCAAGGCACCTCTCACTCCACCACCAGCCACACCGACCACCTTTCAGCTACTACAGGGCCTTGGCACATGCCATACCCGCTGCTAGAAGGCCCTTTTTCCACCTCCCCCTGGGCCACCCCTGCGCATACTTCAGGCCTCTGCACAATCCCCTGCATGGGAGCCTCTCCGACCGCAGGGACAAGGGAACCCGCCATTCCACGCTCTCCTCTCAGAGCACACATCTCAGGCTGTGGCTACACGCCCAGCAGTGACGCCATCTGATGACTGTCTCCCCCCAACAGGTCCTCGGCCCCATGAGGAGGGACCAAGGTAGGGACTGCCCAGCACTGAGCCTGGGACCAGCCCAGATGGTGCGCAGTGTGTATTTGTTGAACAAATGAACGGCTGAGCGTGAGTGCTCTCACGTGATCCTCCCACCCCTCTAAGGCAGTGGTTCTCAACCTTCTGGCCCTTTAATTACAGTTCCTCATGTTGTGACCCAACCATAACATTATTTTCGTTGCTACTTCATAACTGTAATGTTGCTACTGTTATGAATCGTGATGTAAATACCTGATATGCAGGATGGTCTTAGGCGACCCCTGTGAAAGGGTCATTCGACCACCAAAGGGGTCGCGACCCACAGGTGGGGAACCGCTGCTCTAAGGCTAGCATGTCAAACTCGCTGCTGGTGGGCCACATGTGGCCCACAACCAATATTTCTGCAGCGCAGCCAATATAACAGTGTGTAAGAAAACATGAATTTTATCATTGCTCTTGTTCTATTTTATACTATACTTTCCGAAATAAACCTACGTTTCTATGAAAATTGAAGCTTCTGTTTGCGGCCCACATAAACTTAAACCTTGTTTATTTGGCCCGTGTTAGCCTTTGAGTTTGACATGCTTGCTCTAAGGCAGCGGTTCTCAACCTGTGGGTCGCGACCCCTTTGGTGGTCGAATGACCCTTTCACAGGGGTCGCCTAAGACCATCCTGCATATCAGGTATTTACATCACGATTCATAACAGTAGCAACATTACAGTTATGAAGTAGCAACGAAAATAATGTTATGGTTGGGTCACCACATTAGGAACTGTATTTAAAGGGCCAGAAGGTTGAGAACCACTGCTCTAAGGTAATGTCATCACCTTTACAACTGGAGAAACTGAGGCTGAGAGTCCAACTCACCTGCCTGAGGTCACAGAACTAGAGAGGCAAGGCTCGCACTGGCTTCCTGTGTCCCCTTGTCCCCTCCCCGCCCCAGGCTGATGGCAGCACAGCCACACCAGGAACTTAGGGCTCCCACGCGTGGCCGGTGCCAGGGCATCTTGCTATGGCTCCCATACCCACCCCACCCGCTCCTGCAGAACCAGGGAAAGAAAGAAACCCACAGCCCTGGCTGGTTTGGCTCAGTGGATAGAGCATCAGCCTGCAGACTCAAGGGTCCTGGGTTCGATTCCGGTCAAGGGCACATGCCCAGATTGCAGGCCCGATCCCTAGTGGGGGGTGTGCGGGAAGCAGCCGATCAATAATTCTCTCTCATCACTGATGTTTCTATCTCTCTCTCCCTCTCCCTTCCTCTCTGAAATTAATAAAAACATATTCAAAAAAAGAGGAACCAACAGAATCACCCCGCTTCCTGCTTCCGTAGGCTCGAGGGAAGAGCCACACTCACCCCGTGCTTCTGGATGGCGACGTTGGTGAGGTGCACAAACATGTTGTCCAGCTCGCTGGTGCTGGGCGTGTACTTCACGGTGCAGAAGCGGCAGAAGCCGAGCTTGTACCTGAGGGGGCTCAGATCGGTCAGTACCCGGAGGAGAAGCACAGAAACCCAGCACTGCGCTCTCTACACGGAGCTGTGGGGCTTGTTGTTTTAACGTCTAAGCACCGTGTGTTTTTAATGCTTCGTTTTTTATAACAGCTTTATCGACATGTAACTCGTATGAACATGTACCTCACCCACCTAAAGAACTCGATTCCAGGGGTTTGGGCAAACTCAGAGTGTGGGACCATCACCGCAATCCATTCTACAACATCGGCATCACCCCAAAAGGAAACCCCGTGACCACTGGCGGTCGCTCCCCATCCCCAGCGCTGGGCCAACACCCGTCTACGTTCTGTCTGAAGACCTGCCCGCTCTGGGCATTTCACATAAACAGAATGATTCAACGCGTGGCCTTCTGCGCCTGGCTTCTCGCCCCGAGCGCGTCTGTGAGGTTAAAAGAGCTGCTTTTTATCTGTAAGCCTCGCGTGTAATCACTGCACTCAATGCTCACCCTCGCCGGGCAGTGGGCACTAGTGCGCCTCACCAACCTCACCATGGCCCCAGGGGGCACGCATCACTCACGGCACCGCCTTGAGAATGGAAATGGGCCTGGCGCTTACATGTAGCAGCGCAGCGGGCGGTAGGTAGACACCAGGACGTACAGGCGCAGGTCGAACTTCCTGCCGCCGATCAGTAACGGGTTGCTGATGTAGAGGGAGATCACGTAGGCTTCCTTCGTGGACTGAGACACAAACCTAAGCGTGGCAGAGGAAGCCGGAATTAGACGGCAAAGGCCGAAGGCGAGTTCGGTCGGCAGGTAACCAGCTCCTGCCTCTCCTTAAGTGAGAAAACAGGGGAGACGCTATCCATGAGGAGCCCTGGGCCCGGGCCCAGCCCCAGGGGCGGCGGCAGCTGCTGGGAACCCCAGGGCAGGGTTCCTGGGGCTGACCCTCGCGGGGCTAGCGACGTGTCATCAGATCTAAGCGCCTGTCCTGGGATCTCCCACGGGAAAGGCTCACAGCGATAGCAGTTGAGGGCCTCCCGGAGGCAGAGAGCCGGGGACGAAGTGCCCTGGAATCAGTTCCAAGGAGACCCCCTCCCAGGGAGGAGGCTGGGCCTGACCTAATGCGACCCATCCCACCACGGTGCTCGGGTGCAGATCAGCCGGGTCCCTGCCCACCCGCCCTGCGAGGCGAGGCCATCGGTGCCCAGTTCACCCGGGTGAGGAGTCTAAGGGTCTACACAACAAAATGTGCTCGACAGCAGGTGTCAGTGAGTCAGTCCTGGGTCTTCAGCAGATGCTTTGCTGTCTCAGAAACACTGTGACTGGCCCGGCCGGCGTGGCTCAGTGGTTGAGCATCGACCTATGAACCAGGAGGTCAGGGTTCGATTCCCGGTCAGGGCACATGCCTGGTTGTGGACTCGATCTCCAGTGTGGGGCGTGCAGGAGGCAGCCCATCAATGATTCTCTCTCATCATGGATGTTTCTCTCTCTCCCTCCCTCTCCCTTCCTCTCTGAAATCAATAAAAATATATTTTTAAAAAAACACAAAAACTGTGACTGGATGGGTCTCCCACCAACATCGGGAACACAGGCTCCTGCTCTGTGCCTCCCGCTGGGGTCACACCGTTTCCCTCTGCACCTCCCCTCGGAGGGAGCCCCCGGGACAGATGCTGCACTCCTGCAGAAGCCAGCCCGTGGCCGACAGACGGACGCGGGAAGCTGCGGTGAGGCGGTCTGCAGCGTGGGTCCCCCACTCACGAGGACGTCTTGCTGTCCCGGGACCACTTTTTGATCTGCGAGAGCTTGTTGATGAGGAAGATGCCCTTGCCCTGGGCTTTGCCGCACGGCTTCATGATCCACGTGCTGGACGGGCTCTTCCGGAACTCCTCCACGAACAGGTTGTAGTCGGCGGGCAGCATGTAGGTGACCGGGACAAAGTCTGAAAGGGAAAGGAGAGGGGACCCGTGAGCCAGCCCGCAGTGGCCGCGAACAGAAAATACTGCCACTGCCTTTCCAGGGGCCTGTGTCCCACCCCCGACCCTGCCCAACCCAGCGTCTGGCAGAGCGAGGACTCCTGCGGTCCAGGGGCTGCACAATGATAACTCACAGCTACTGCCTGTGTGCTAAACACGTTACAAGTCTGTACATCGACTCACCACAGCACTGTGAGCTAGGGACTCAGCGTTCCCATTTATCAGATGGGGAAACTGAGGCCCGGAGAGCTCACTTACATGATTGTGCCCAGGAGTGTGAAGGGATTCTGAAACTATCCGACAGTCCAGCCTTTTTTTTTTTTTTTTAATATATTTTATTGATTTTTTACAGAGAGGAAGGGAGAGGGATAGAGAGTTAGAAACATCGATGAGAGAGAAACATCGATCAGCTGCCTCCTGCACACTCCCCACTGGGGATGTGCCCGCAACCAAGGTACATGCCCTTGACCGGAATCGAACCTGGGACCCTTGAGTCCGCAGGCCGATGCTCTATCCACTGAGCCAAACCGGTTAGGGCAGCGACAGTCCAGCTTTAACACCAGACAGGACAGGGGTGCGTGCGCTCCCTGGGTGTCGCTAGACGCAGCATTTGGAGCTCAGGAAGTGGTCACACATGCTGAGCACCGCAGACACTCTCTCCCTCACAGGAAGCACACTCCCCAGGCCTCAGTCAGATTCCGAAACTGAGCCCCACCCCCACCTCTAGAGACACTGGATCCAAAGAGGCGCCCAGCGGACGTGTAAGTGTAGGTGGCTTCCTGTGCATTGTGCAGAGGCCTGAGGAATGCGTAGGGGTGGCCCAGGGGGAGGTGGCTTCCTGCACATTGAGACACATTGAGTGCAGTGAATCGTGGAGGCTTCTGCACCCACACATTCACCCGTCGAAGCCAGAAGGTGTCACCTCGATGCCTTGTGCAGCTGACGTTAAAAAACTCAACTATTTACATTTGAAACCCGGCAGTGAGAAGGCACACACCCAGGTAGAGGTATTTCCCGTTCTCGTCCTTCTCCGCCAGGGGACTCCCCTCCTTCTCCAGCTCTTTCCGGTACCGTTTAATGTTCTTCACCATCAGGTCCTTCCGGGTCAGCTCGTAGTGGTTGGGAAAGTGGTTGACTATCTGATCGTCGGAGAGCCGATAGCCCGTTTCCACACTGAAGACGTTTCGGATGGTCTGCACGCTCATCCTAAAGGGGAAGCACAGAGGGACGCGCAGGACAGAAGCTCACGTTTGTCCACGCGGAGGTGGTCCCATTAAGGCCCGGGAACTCCCCCAGAGCCCTCACCCACCCCCACCCAGCACCCACGGCCCACGGCGGCACAGGAAACGTGTCCAGTGACCGGCTATGGCCTGAACTGTTTGAGGCAGGAGCTGTTTTGACTATACCCTGAACAGTTTCATTCTCTGGCACACAGTAGGTGCTCAATAAATGTTTATCAATTAATGATAACGCTGATTATCAACAACAATCTAATGACAAACAGACTCTCCCAGGCTCTGTAGTCAGGAAAGTCATTTACACAATATTTGCACCCAAAGTCGGGAAGGACAGGGAGCCCTTAAACCCAAACCCCAGGGGTTACTCAAGGCCGAGTCAGCACTCACCCGGGCTGCCCCCCGTGAAGTGAGGAGGAGGAGGGAGAGGAGGAGGGAGAGAAGAAGGCCAGTGCCCTGCCACCCCTCTGTGCCTTCACCAGCCCCAGGCAGGGAAAGGGCAGGAAGGACGGGAGGGCTGGCACCCACAAGGGAACCAGAGTCACAGAAAGGCAGCTGGTGGCCTCTTGCTGTGTGGTCCCTGCCCTGCCCCCACCCCAGGGCACTAACCTAAGAGGGGGTCTGGAGCACCCAAGAGCATTAGAATAAGGAGATTTTTTTTTACGTTGTATTATGGTAACAGTCAACCGTACATGAAAGTCGAGAGAAACGTGTAACAGATTCCCATGACCAGCCCACAGCTGTCACCACCCAGCCAGCCTTGTTTCGTCTGCGCCCCGCCCACGCCCCACACACGCGCCTGCTGTTTTGTTTTCTTAATTTATTTTTTAATTCTAGTTGACAGCACTGGCTTGTTCCGCAGCAATTCCCAGACATCATATCATTTCATCCAAAATGCTCCTGCAGGAACCTCTAGCAGCTAAGGACTCCTTTTTCCGATACACGACATCCTCTGTTATACTGTTACCACAACTGAAAAAAGCAGCAGGAATTCCTGAATATCATCAAATATCATCAAACCAGTGTCCCAACTTCCCTTATTGTCTGATATATTTTTACAGCTCATGCAAATAAGGGCCGGGCCTTCTGATTGGTTGTTCTCCCTCTCACGTCTCTCTCTCTCTTTTTAATTGATTTGAGAGAGAGGGGGAGAGGGGGAGAGAGAGAGAGAAACATGGATGTGAGGAACATTGATTGGCTGCCTCCTACAAGGCCCTCACGGGGATCGAGCCCAAAACCTGGGTATGTGCCCTGACCGGGAACTGAACTGGCAACCCTTCAGTGTGTGGGGCGATGCTCAACCACCGGAGCCCCACCTGAGAGGGGGCAGGGAGCACAGCAGGTACACAGGTGCAGAAGCAAGAATGACGGGGAAAACGTGCCGCCCACTGCATGGGGTGGAGGAACGAGGAGAAGGGAAGTGGCTAAACAGAGGCTGTAACATCTCTCAAGGCAGCGGCAGGGAGAGTGAGTCTGGAGGAGGGGGATGTGCGGGGTGCAGAAGCCCCCAGAGACCCCGGTGAGCCCGCCCGCCTCGGAGACTCACGGGGCTCTGGGCCCAGGTCTGCAGAGGGTCGATGACAGAGGCCACGGCCGACTCCATGTAACCCCGCCAGAGGGGGGCTGTCCCGAGCAGGGAGCTGTCACCACTGAGGGCGGGAGCAGACCTGGACCGAGGGGGGCCGGGACCTCAGCCCGAGGAAGGCGGTGGAGGAGGAGAGTCCAGGACAAGGCCCAGGCCCCTGGTTGGGCGGAGCACCGTCCAGGAGGCGATGCCAAATCCTGAGACTAACTCACCTTCGGGGGCGGGGCTGGGATTGTAATCTAGGCCAAATAGCGCCCCCTCGCCATCCGAGAGGGAAGCAAATAGAAGCATGGAACCGCTTCCACAGGGCCCTCCTGTGACCCCCACCCCCACCCCTGGGCGCTGGGCAGTAAGGCGCTGGGCAGTAAGGCGCTGACTCCCTGGGCGCTGGGCAGCAAGGCGCTGACTCCCTGGGCGCTGGGCAGCAAGGCGCTGACTCCCTGGGCGCTGGGCAGTAAGGCGCTGACTGTGAGAAACTACCCAGCCGGGGGAGGGCTCTGGTTTTTCACCCCAATCCCCCCGGTGGGGACCACACTCTGCTGCCTGGTAAACAGGACTGCGGGCCCTGAAGCGCCGCGGAAAGAAGCGGGAGGGGGCACGGGATGGCACAGACAGCTGCGCCGGACCCGTCCTCGCCGGCTGCGATCTGGACCCGAATCCATAACTGACCAATGGGCTTCGGAGACCCAGCGGCCCTGCTTCATACTCACCAGTAAAAATTCCAGTCCTCGCTCTCCGTCACCTGGACCCATCCTCTCTTTTCAAAATTATTGATCAGCACTGACTTCTCGATGTCAGTGACCCACTTCACTTTTCCTGCCATCATCCTGCAAGAGAGCAACGGCTCAGGCTGGGAGACGCCCACAAGCTCCCGTCGCCTGGAGGAACCCGAACATCCCCGGGCCTTGGACGCCCCCAAGTTCAGTCTCCCCAGCTGTGGTCTCAGCCAGGGGCCTGCAGTGTCCGGGGACACCGGGCAATGTCTGGAGGCATTTTGTTTGTCACAACTGGGGGTGGGAATGCTTCTGGCATCTAGTAAGAGAGGCCAGGGACGCTGCCCGACACCCCACAACATACAGGACGGCCCCCCACAACCAACCACCCAGCTCAAATGTCAACTGTTGCCAAAGCTGAGAAATCCCGGTGGAGTAGGAAATAAAGGCAGCAATTAGCCGTCAATAAATGTTCAACTGCAATTGCAACAGGGTCTCAGGTGAGAATCGCCCCCCTCTCCCCCCGCCAGGCAGCACCCACACCACAACCACCCTGCCGGCCGCACAACTCGTTCTCCTACTTCCAACCAATCTCCCTGGTGGCCTCGCTCCAGCCACTGCCGCCCACCAGGGGACAACGCAGAAGGGAGGGCAGCAACGGAAAACCACCAAGGCGCGTGCTGTGCTTCAGCGAGCAGGAAATGGGCCCTCCGAGAAGGTGGGGATTTCTTCCCGGGCCCCTGCTCCCTCGATGGTGACAAACGGTCACTCGAGGAGAACATCTGAGGCTGGACTTACCATCGGAACTTATGGAGCCAACACGGACGTCCAATTTCTCGCCACTTTCACTGACTCTCCCTGGGGGTCCTGGCCTAAAATACAATGAATACACAGGTGAGATTACACAGCACAAGACCCAGGGGCACCCTGACTGTTATGAACGTAGAGAACTGGCTAAGCCGAGGGCCCAGTGGAAAGTCTTGTGTTAACAAGTGCACCAGAGGGCTACCCGCAGCATTCCTATTGCCCGGTTGTTTAATCTGGCGCCAACTCAAAGCACCACCCAGGGACCTGCAGCAGGGGCATCGCTCATTAGAAACGCAAATTCTTGACGCCCCGCCACCCCATGATGCACTGGGTCAGACTTTTGGGAATGGGACCCAGCATGTGTCTGAAGCTCTCGGGAGATTCTTACACATGCTGAGTCCCTTGTTTGAAAGGAACGGGTCTAGCCCTAGCCGGTTTGGCTCGGTAGATAGAGCACTGGCCTGCGGACTAAAGGGTCCCGGGTTCGATTCTGGTCAAGGGCATATGCCCAAGTTGCAAGCTCAATCTCCGGTACAATCCCTAGTAGAGGGTGTGCAGGAGGCAGCCGATCAAGGATTCTCTCTCATCATTGATGTTTCTATCTCTCTCTCTCTCTCTCTCTCTCCCTCTCCCTTCCTCTCTGAAATCAATAAAAATATTTATTTTTTAAAAAAAGGAACAGGTCTAGTTCATGTATTTGGTTCCTGTCTTCAACAGGAATGTGGTCCCACTTTTATCTCTTGCTGAATCTCCAGCCCCCCAGAGAAGTGTCTAGTAAAAGCACACAATCAATATTCAATGAATTAACAAAAATAAAGATGTGAATTCCCAGCACACACCATCAGGTAAGAGCTGCCTGTGCCAAGCAGTGAATTGGGCACGGCCTGGCCCTGCAGGGGAGAGAAACTTGCACACGATCACCCAGGACGTGCCACAGCTTTGCCAGCACGTGAAGTCAGGGCCGAGAGGTTAGCTGATCTCCGCTGAGCGAGGGAACAGCTCGGGGATCATCCACGCCTACAGCCCCAGGAGGACAGAACTCTGCCAAGAGGCCTAACATCCTGGAGTTATGACGACTCTCAGGCAAAAGCCAGGACAGCCTTTCAGGAGAGACAGCAAGCAGGGCAGTCCCGTCTCCCTCTTCTGGTCCAGCCTTCTAAAACCAGAGCCCGGCCCGCATCCCACTGCCTGACTATCGCTGACTTCCCGTCAAGTCCCAGCTGGGCCAGGACTCTCGGGCATCTGGATTTGTTTCCAGCTGGCCTTCTTTGACAAGGAAAAAGCACCATCTTTACTTACTATTTTAAAAATGTTTTTATTGATTTTAGAGAAAGAGGAAGGGGGAGAGAGAGACACACATACATGGATTGGTTGCCTCCTGTAGGAACCCTGACCCAGGATCAACACCCCCCTCCACCTCGACCCCCCACCCCCAAACTGGACATGTGCCCTGACCAAGAATCTAATTATCGACCTTTGGGTGCACAGGAGGATACTCTAACCCACTGAGCCACACCCGCAAGGGCCAAAAGCGCCGTCTTTAAAGAAGATAATAAACAATAACGTAAATGACTTCACATCAGTGCATCCGATGGCAGCTGTATTGCCACCAGGAGGCAGTGCCTGTGATTCTTTGAGTGCAGAGCAGGCTGAGGGTTTGCGCTACCACAGCCTCGCACTGAAATGTGCTCTTTCCCGAACAAAGAACCGTTTTGCAAACAGTAAACCGCTTACAAGGACACGATACTTTTACGTCTAGGATGGATCCCCAGTAATGACCCAGCTACTCCATGAGGTGGATGACTCGCTCTGCTCACACCCACTCTAAGTGGTAGGGGAACCCGGAGGGGAGGTGCCTAGGTCCAGACCCGGAGGGGAGGTGCCTAGGTCCAGACCCCAGAGAGACGTGAGCAGAGCGGGGAACCCCAGGCTCCCGCCTGCCGCGCAGAGCCCTCCTCAGAGGTGCATGGCGCGCAAGATGCCAACTGAAACAATAGATTGCAGCAGCAAGAGCCGAGGCACAATGAAATGCTGCGAAAACAATCTTAAGAGAAATGCAATTACAAGGGTCCAGCGGCACAGGGTAAGGAGGAGGGAGGGGCACAGCAGCCAGAGCATTCTCCCAGCAGGGCGCGGCCCGCCCAGCACCTGGGCGCCCACACTCGCTCGCGCATGCGCACTCACCCACTCACGCACAGCCATACCCTCGGTCCT